AGACTCAAGTGGGTCATAAAGGCCAACCTTACAGGCCTATGGCCAAGTTGTTGGCTATTTTTCTCACATAAGATAAGATCGCAACGAAAAAAATTGTTAGATGATGGTTGTTTCGCCTAAGCATTTCCAACTTGAAAAGTTCAAGCTTTCCAGATCTAAAAAAAAAATCAATTGATCTTAGAATTAAAACAATATCTAAGGAAATGAAGCTCGCCTAAGGAGACATCAAACTGAACTAAATATTACCTTTAATAGGTATGCTTAAGCACAAAGCACAAATCGAAGATCCCATCTTAAATGGGTTCAACAAAGCACATAAAAAGAAGTTATATCAATGTTCTTATAAGGCCTAAGGATGCTTCGAGGGGTATTATGCCATCAAAACATCCATCAAACTGCCAAGTGTTGAATGGGCCGACGACTTTTTGTCATCGACTTCATATATGCCCTAAAGGCAAGCTCATCTTCTTACATCTTTCAACTAAGCCCAGTAAAGTAGAAAACCAAAAGGTAGAAGACAAGCTCAAACTTCTTGACAAATTCAATAAATCGCTACAATCATGCCGACTTGTACAAATTCAAGTTTCAAAATCTAGCATAAGAGTTATATTCTTCTTCTAGGATACAAGTATCAATGATGAAAAAGAGTCATTAAAACCAAAAGGCAACAACAACCAAAAACTAATCTAAAGAGAATATGTTTGTATTTCCAAGTTCAGGTCCACATGTGTTGGCATCCATGAATGTTATCGGAGATTCACAAAATCAAAATCATCATTGACATTCAAATGAAATTTTGAAGATCCAAAAACAAATATGATCTATTTCAGGCACGCACCATATTTGTTAGGGTGCACTTGTTGAACTCAATATATATTTCACGAGTCCAATCTACAAGATGCAAGATGCATAGAGAAAGATGAATGTGACATAGCACAAATTAACGTGAAATGTGTCGACATTAGCCAAAATTGGTCCAAATAATATTTGTTTGCAAAAACAAACTCTATCATTGTGTTCAGAGCATCGAAATTTCCTAGGAATAGGTTATCATGATCAAAAAGAGAAAGCACGATAAAAAAAATAAAAGACAACCCGTTGGAGCAATGCATATAATTTAGGCTCAAATTGCATCGAACATCGACTCAGTCAATTGAACAACCTCTGATTGCAAAGCGAACTAAGCGAGAACATTCGGAATGTCAGCTTTGTCTAGGGAGGAGACCAATATTACTAGGCTTTTGAATGTAAATTGATAGAGCGTATATCAAGAAGTTAAAAATAAATTAATTAATTTAAACTTTCTATTCCTTGACCAAAACCGCCACCTAATATTTCCTCCACCATGTGTTGCTCATACTTACAGCTCCTTTTCATCCAATAGGAGCCCTCTATCTCACCTAAGAATAACAAAAAATGAATTTGAAATAAAAAAATACCTAATCTAATGAGCCTAGCTAACTTATCCCAACCAAGGGGAAGAAATTTACCTCTCCCCTTCTCATGCACAGTACCTCCCTCGTTTTCGTACTTCTGGCTCAATGAATTAGCTCTTCTCCCCTCTGAGGCGCCATAAGCCATTTCCTTCTCCCACACCGAGCCACAAACAAACAACCTTCTCCTCTACCTGCTTTAGTAGACGATCCACCAGCTCCTACACCCATTATCAAGAAAATTCGCAGCCTCCCCCTTCTACTGCTACAGATTTCCCTTTCCCTGTGCTACTCCGGCCAACCTACATCAACAAGCACCCAGCCTGCAACCCACAACTCTCTTGCTGCAGCACAAGCACAACTCTAAAGCCCATCTTTCCTTCTTCTATACACATCCCATCTTCAGTGCACTCCTCTCTCCCTCTCTCTCTCATACAGCACTTACCCGAGTCCCTCTTCTCAGCTCGCAACACTTCCAGCTCACACGCTCATCCCCCAAAGCCAACTGCAGCTCATTCTCAGCATTCAACTCTCCCTCTCCTTCGTCCAGCCTAATACCAAGCCATAACCACCTGTTATCCTGAAAACTTGAAACAAAGCTCCACTTCCATCTCTCCCAAACAATCCTGTTGCGGTAACCATCCTCCCATAGCCTTCTCTACCCCAAACACCCACCCTTCCAGTAAGAACTTCTCCAAAAGCCATCTCATCTCACCTGAGCAACTAAACAACCACTTTCTTTCAATAATCTCACTCCAAATTGTGGGTTTAACCTTTCTAAAACTCGTCATCATCGATTAAAGTGCGAAGGTATAATTGTTAATACAAATGAGTGCGCCAAAAGTTAAGTGCCTAAACGTGACTTTCTTAACGCAGTGGGGGAAATTTATACGTTTATGTGTTTTTGTGCAGGTACAAAATCCCATACACGCTTTTCTTAGTGTGGTGGGGAAAAAGATGTTAAACCGCCAATGTTCCAAGTCTTGCATGCACATTTCTTTGAGTGGCAGAATGTACCGTTTTAAGGTTGTGGTGCAAGCCACCTATACATGTCTTACTTGGAATGATGGTCACGCCCATTTCGACCATCTACCTCCCTATTAGGGGAGGGGACATCAAAATGCAATTAAAATGTTGTCGGAATTTTGTCAGGCTTTTAACTAAACTAAGGGTTAACAAAATTTGCACTAAATAAAAAATTGCAAAATTAAGAATTAAAAAGACTATCTAAAGTAATTTGCAATAAAAAAGAACGCCTAATTAAATAAAAAGTGTAATTTCATGGTGAACTTACCAAAGAACAGAAACCAATACAAAAGCTTGAACATGAACAAGAAAAACAAAATCTCCTCGCTACTTCTAAAGCACTCAAACCCCTAAATTTAAAGCAATTTAGTGGAGGAATGAGCATTCCACCTTCCTATTTATAAGGGGAGGAGTATAGCTTTGTGGGCCCCACGATATTAAATGTAGTTCATATAAAGACAAACATCGATATCGTTCGATGCTCATAATATTCTCGTTCATCCAACATGCCAACAAATCTGCAACCCCTTTATACAAGCAGACAAAAGTCATTATTAAGGAATTCAAAATAAAAACCAAAATGAATTAAAGTGTAATACACAAATATACAAATTTTGACAAACTTCAAGTCTTGCACGAGTCTCACAATGCAACTTTCAAATTTAAGTCGCATCGAAAAGAATGCAAGCTCTTTAAAATTTACTAACTCTTTAAAGACTAAACACCTGCAAGTGCTCCAAGTTGCTCTTAAATTTTCAAATTTAAGCATCTGAGAATACTACGCGAGTTAAAATGCAGGTTTCAGCTCAAATTTACTCTGCTTTGAAATACAGACAAAGTTATTTAAAATTAACTCAATCCAACAAATTAACATTCCACATGTGCTCAGATGTGCTCTTAAATATTCAAATTTAAGCATATGAGAATTTTGCACGAGTAACAAGCCGCCTTGCCTATAGGGTGGGTTCATAAGTCTTATACTTTGGCCAGTTTGATCCTTCTCCCTAAAAGAACTGCAGTTGACAAGACTGAGCCCAATTCTACTCTAATAAGAGCTAAAGTCAACAGAACTAATACTATCTTTTAACGCTCGAGGAACTAAACTTAATCAAATCATAATATAAGCATTTCAACAAATATTTATTCTAATAACGCTCGATGGACTTCTTAACCTGATGGATTTATTTATAAAATTAGGATTATATAATCATAAAAATTCAAAATTATTTAAATTAAATATATCTCTCAACGTTTAAAATAAAATTCATTCACCATCCACAACTGTTTGTTGGGGTAGACAAACCTAATGCTGACTCAATCTTATAAAGAGTCAATTTCATATTAAGTATACTATTAGATTTAAACTCAAAACATTTCCATGTCAGTAAGAATGTGATATGAGTCATCTGTCTGCATGGTTAAGCAAGTAGGCTCCACAAAAGAATAAATTACGACCTGAGCCCTCTGATCGGATGGTTTGGTCAGTAGGCTCCATTAGGTAGTTTGGTCAGTAGACTTCACTGTAACACAATCAAAGTTGTAGCCCGTATGTTCCTCAATGATGTTTTGTTCTTTAGAGTTATGAATCATAGAATATATTTAATAGGGCACAAAGCTTTGTTAACTAAGGTCAACTTAGATTAGCCACCTTAGAAAAACATTTGCCCTAGTTTTACAAAGTTCCCTTGGACGAAGTAACACATAGTTGTTGACAAGGATCATTCTATCAAGTTAGGTCAACTACCTACACTAACTAAGTAGATCGAGAACCATGACAACCCGGGATGACGGAACCATGGGATCTTAAATATTTTCTTCATCGTTTACCCAACCAGCCGCTTTTAAGCTAACGGTGATAGTTTCATGATTTTAAAATTCTAAATTTGTTGCTACTATATTCTAAGTCTGAATACGTAGCACCTAAGGATGCCTTAATCGAAAGTGTTCTCACATTAATGAGAGGAGTAATTATGCGCCTATGAGGAAACCTCGAACCCTAAGATAAGTTCACACAAAATGAGAGTGAAATTTCTAGGTACATTCTTATCTACAATCTCATCGGCTTTCTGAAAATTTAATCCGGAACATAACGTTTTAAGCTCTCAATGAGAGTCCAGGGTATTTCAAATTTTTGGAGCCCATAGTATTATGAGCTATAGAAGTCAGTCCAAGAAAAACACATCCTATAATAGCAGCATATCCTCTCCTCTCAAGTTCAGGGAGATCAAAAAGTAGCAGATAGCAAGAAAATGGGATGATAAAATTTGACCTTCATGATAGAGTAAGCCATCTGAAATTTATAGAAAACCTCAAGTGAACTTTCTTTTCTTTCATTTAGTTATAAAAACTTTTAAACCATATGATAAATTATGAAGCATCAAGATCTTACAAGCATTTGATCTTATAGTTGAAATGTTTTGTCAATTATAGGTCAATATGAACCATGATTATAATGTAAAAATAATGAATAATGACAAGCTTCAATGGTTAGATAGTATAACATTAAAAGCATATCTATTTACATAGGCTTAACAAGCTTACTCGAAATAAATTTAAGTTTCTTCTCAATTTTGCGTTTGGAGCTTTTTGATAGGTCTCCTTCACGACTACTGCGTCTGAAATGAAAGTCAAAAACTAATATTAGCATCCACGTAAGTGTATCACGAGCATAATTTAGATTTGCCAAAAAAGTTTCAATCTAAACAAACCCAAAAGCCAAAAAATAAGTAAATAAATTATAATTATGCAAGTGAAAGAAACAATCATATCATATGTCGTTAGACGTCCATGAGAACATAAAAAAACTGAGATGATAGTTGACATATATATTACAATATGAAATGCAATAACCTAATATCTATTATTTACTTTGAATAAAGTTCGGCAAAGCAATGTTCGTATTTGAAAGTTAAAATTATATAATTTATAAAAAAGCCAGCTCCACCGACTTGTGAAACCAAGGGCCTAACGAAGCATAGAAGCCAGCTCCAAGTACTTAATGTATTACATGTTTGCTTGATACCTCTCCATAAAACCTAAAAATGACATTCCTCCTTAATCAAGAGTACGATGAAACAAACAGCAAGTGCCATGCTTATCTCATTGGATCAGATAATAACCAACCTCCCAGCTACAACCTTTCTTTGTTTTAAAGTTCTGGAGAAGTGTAGGCTAGGGAATTCCATGTCTGAAATCCTTCCCTTTTGCTTTAAAATAGGGGCATTTACATACATACCACGCAATTCTTATATATTTACAGATTTAAACCTAAACTTCGCCTTTTTACATTTATACTACCCAGATCTTCCACATCACATCAAAAATACCATTATTTTAACTTTTAACAAGTGAAATATATATTTTTCTGCATAGTTAAGGTGGTATGTTTTTAAAAATTAAAGTTTAGGTGTTAGATATGTATATGCGTAGGAATTGAGTGGTATGTATGTAACTGTTCCTTTAAAAATATTATTCAGATCTTTTGCACATTGCTGATGTTTATATAATGCAAAACATATATTCAACAAAAAATATTTGTGTGCCACTAAAATCCTATTTATTTAGAAAACTACCACCCAACTATTTAAAGTGAACAACCAAAACTAATATATTTGCAGGCAATAACAACCAAATCATCCTTATCTAAGCAAATCAAGGATAAAAGTTTATAGTATTGTTGGGCTCTTCAAAATTTAGGCTGGATTATTGTAAATAGTACTTCAATGATAGTTTTATAAGGAAAAGTTTGGCATTTACATGTAATTACCCGTACAAAATCTATCGATACTTGTGAAAGCTCAAAATTTTCTTGAACTAATATTAGATTTCATTACAAATATGTATGTATATAGTGTGAATTTCCATAAACAATCAAAGCTGGTTCTCCGGCCAACATTTCAATAACGAAAAGTAATTTAAGTAGGCAATAACTGAAGATTTCCGATCACATTAGGAGGAACAAGCATACCTCAACCCCGTCAAACCCATTCTCAAAGACCTTTAACACGAATAAGGAAGAAGTAGCCAATACAAAATTTCACTGTCTCAAATTCCTGTAAATTTTTCAAACAAAATGTAAAATTAGAAATAAAAAATGACTCCATACAAAAATTAGCAGTATATCAATAAGTGTTTTGAGAACGCATGTTTTTTTTTTTTCATTGCATTATAGTCAGAAAGAAGAGACTCCTACTCCAGACATAACTTGTACAAAAGATAATTTATTGGTGGTTACTTTAACACTAGGCAGGCAACTTGAGGAAAAAAATCACAACCTATTCTCTACTAAGAGGGTGGTTGAGACTGTGTTAGATTGAACAGCAACAAGCAGCAAGCAGAAAAAGAAGAGAACTGGAAGAGGATTACATATGTCCACATCCGAACTGCAGGATTGAGTTGAATGAATGCTAATGAGTTCAAAAAAGAAAAAATAGTGAATCCAAATACACAAATGTAGTTGGGGGAGATTTGAGGACGGGCCATTTAATTTAGGGGTTTTGCTGGTCCCTTATGAATAATACTGAGAAACAACATGGATGGTGGGTCACGAGAAGAATCACTCCTGTAAATAAAGCAATGATTTGGGCTTGTCGGTACTAACAAAATCAATAATTTATCTCTACGATCTTAAGAAAATATTATTTAAATATGAAAAGGGAATATCTAAAAGGCAAACAATTCACTAGCATCATCGACCTTAAGTTAAACTCTAAAGCAGATCATTTTAATGGTTTATTTTCGATGCAAGTAAAATATAGTAAACCAAGCTTTAAAAAATGGGACAGACGAATGGAAGGACGTACAAACACGGACACAGATACAATAGCCTGGTTTCTTCAATAGTTTATTTAAAAGAAAGAGAATCAGCTGACCATACAACCCAAATAAAGTCATGAAATAGTTATTCCACAAACACAATTGTGCGACTTGTCAAATCGTTATAATTGCCTTAAACCATCTTGATTGCTTGATAATTAGTTGGTTACACATTTAAGTGCTTATAAGCATTTAGATTTCATTTTGGGAAATGAGCCGTACTGAAGTGAGTTACAAACATATATATCTGTTTTGCAAAAAAAATTTTCTTTTGTGTGCACTCAGTTCCTACATTTGCTTCAGTTGCAATGAATTTCATTTTTATAAACCCTCACATTAATTTTCCATTGACTTTTATTTTTAAGGAAAGATAATATGCCAATCCAAACATCTAATTAATTTAAATTATTCTATTATTAAAAATGTAAAAATAAATGTGGCTTCTTTATCCACAAAACTGAAACTCACCCTAAAATTAAATGTAAGCATCAAAATGGGAATGCAAATCCATCAAATTTCAGGCAAACAAATGTTTATAATTGAACTAAGTTCAATAAGTATGATCCACTAAATTAAGAACATTTGCAACAAAACAAACTTGTCCTTATTGAAGGATACTTTATTCAAGTCAATACAGAATTTCTTAAGACTGATTAAGTGAATATGATTTCAAGGATTCACTAGTTTTAACACAGCCCCTAAAAATGTTATGCCATTTTTAAGCCATAAAGACTCCGAAATGAGTCTAGGTTGCTCAACTAAATAGTCCTTAAAACAGAAAATCATATGATAATTAAAATGGCATAAAAAAGGCAACTTAAAAACTTGATTAAAACATGAACAAAGGTTACTTTAGGTACTTGGTCAGATGGTTAGAGGAGAGCTATATTAGAAGTGCAATTGTATGATTCATGCCCCAAGCACTTTAGGATTTTCTGTCAAGTCTTCTTACTTCAAAGTTTGTTACAGGATGATTAAAGGTTTGTTTGGGGCAGCTTTTGCGTTCAGGATAAACAGTTTCTCCTGAAACGCGGTCCGCGGGTCGACCGCGGGGGTCGACCCGCGGGCTGCGTTTAGTGTAAAAAATTCAAACGCGACAGACAGCGTTTTCAAAAACTCGCAAACCAAACGGTTAGGTGGTGTTTTCAAAAACGTCACGTTAAGTTAAAACGCTTATAAGCTGCACCAAATGGGCCCTAAGTCTTCTTACTTTGTAGGTTGTTAAAAGCATCACGTTGCTTTTACATGTTGCTAACTTTAATAGGTGTTACACAATTTAATAGGATCAAATGCGACAATAGGACCTAAAAACAGACATCATCGTGAAGAAATAACTTAAATGTGCACATTTGTATCGAAAGAAGTCTTAATCGTCGTTGTCTCACAAAATAAACCCTGAAGTGTGTCCAAAACCTCAAAATTACCCAAGATAGCCTCCCACGTCACTTAAAACAATAGTATCAAAATATTTTTAAAAAGTTTGAGGTGAGGATGAAATTAGGCCTGCAAGAACTAAAATTTTAAAAAATAAAGCAAGAGAAATATGTCATTATTCAAGAAAAACTCATATTTCATAGAAATCATACCACCTACATCTCGTTAAGTTAAAAAAATTTTCGATAACTTCATATTTTCAACTTTCCCAATTCAAACACAATAAACAGTATTTTCTATGCATGTTGAGAAACAAGTAATTTAAATCCAAAAGTGACAAGAATTTCATTATCACAAGCATAACTCTTCAATTTTTAGTCGAGATTATACGATTTATGTATCTTTTGAAAATTAACACAATCCTCCATAACATCTATATTTCCACTTTGACAAATTTCAACCCGGAAAGTTTTACATCTAAGTAATGCAACAACAACAACAACAAAGCCTTAATCGCACACGTGGATCGGCTACATGAATCCTTTTTCTCCATTGTGTCTTATTTAGTGTCATATTTTCATTTAGTTCTAATAAATTAAGATCATTTTTTATACAATAAGCGCAAGTTTTCCAAGGTCTGACCTCTACCTTTCTTAACATAACTCGAATCTAAAACATCTAATATTCTAATCGGATCATCAGATGGTCGGCGTTTAATGGCGTTTAATGTGGTCGGCGTTTAATGTGACCAAACCATCTAAGAGAACTCTCTCTAATTTTGTCTGTCACCGGAGCTACACTAATCCTATCATGAAAATATTCATTTCACATTTTTTCTCTAAGTGTAAAGCCACTCATCCACCTAATCATTCTCATCTCAGCAACACTTAACTTCGTATTCGTATTATGCTTCTCTTTTAATTAAAGGCCAACATTCAGCGCCATAGAGCATTGCAGGTCTCACCACCATCTTATAAATTTTTTCTTTAAATTTAAGCGATACTTTACTATCATACAAAAGGCTCGAAGCCTTCCTCCACTTCAGCCAACAACTATTAACATCCCCATCTATATCGCCATCGCTTTGAACAACAGACCCGAGATATCAAAATTGTTCATATCTTTTAATGATTTGATCACAAAAAATTACACTTTTGTCACTAAAGCTACTACTACTAAAAATACATTCCATTTATTCAATTTTAGTTCTACTTAAATGAAGTCCTTTAGAATCCAATGTAGACCTCCATAATTCAAGTTTTTCCTGAGCTTTTTCTCTCGTCTTATCCACAAGAAGGATATCATTAGTAAAAAATCATACACCAAGGTACATCCTCCTGTAAATGTCCAGCAAGACCATCCACCATAACTAAACAAGACCATCCATAACTAAAGCAAAAAGATATGGGCTTAAAGTCCATCCCTGATGTAATCCAACAGAAATAAGAAAACAATTGGTCAATCATCCTTCAGTTCGAACACAAGTAACAACTCTAGTATACATATCTTTAATGACTTGAATATAAGTCATACCAACACCTTTCTTCTCAAGAACTCTCTAAAGGATATCTCTTGGAACTTTATCATAAGCTTTTTCTAAATCAATAAAAATCAAATGTAGATCCTCCTTATTATCTCTGAACTTCTCCATGAAACCTCTCAATAAATGTATAGCTTCCATAGTAGACCTGCCCGGCATAAATCCAAAATGATTATGAGAAATTTTTGTAATTAGCCTATGTGCAATTACCCTCTCCCATAATTTTAAAGTATGATAGATCAACTTAATTCCTCTATAATTTGCACACTTTTGTGCATTCTCTTTATTCTTAAAAATGGAGACCAAACTACTCTTCCTCCACTCTTCGGTCATCTTTTTTGTTTTTAAAATAATATTAAAGAGTTTAGTAAGCAAAGAAACTCACTCCTAAATCTCCTAAAAATTTCCACACTTCAATTGGAATATCATCAGGTCCTACAAACATTCCACATTTGGTTTTCTTTAAAGCCTCAACTTCTTTTTTACAAATACGATGATAAAAATGAAACATTTTATTATAATTAATGATGTTAAGATCACTAAAGTCAATCTTATTTTCAGAAACTTCATTAAAAAGTTAATCCAAATAACTCACCCACCTATGCTGAATATCTTTTTCAAAAAAAATATTTTTTGATTTTCATCTTTAATACACTTTACTTGAGTTAAATCTTTACTTTTCTTTTATCTTTGTCTAGCTAGTTCATAAATATATTTTTCACCCTCCTTAGTATTTAATCTGTTATAAAGATCATTAAAAACAAAAATTTTAGCGTCACAAATTGTTCTTTTAGACTCTTAGTGCGTCGTTTGATATTTTTTCCAGTTCTCTAAACTTTTACATTTAAACAAATTTTTATAATATATCTTCTTATATTTTATCTTTTCTTGCACATTATTATTTCACCACCAACTATTTGTATTTACAAAAAAATTTTCTTTTGATTCTTCAAGTACATCTTTTGCTACTTATTTAATAATATTTGTTAATTTATCCCACATAGCATTCGCTTCTTCATAAACATCCCTAATTTTAAAATCTTGAAATTTAATCATTAAAATAATTTTATTTATGTCTTTTAGATTCCCCATCTAATTTGATAATGATGATTCCTAGTGTTCTTTATTTTATAAATCTTCATCTTAAAATCTATAACTAATAATTGATGTTGGGCATTTAAATCCTCACTTGAAATGACCTTACAATCTTTACAATCTCGACGATCTTCTTCTCATAAGAAAATCAATTTGTATTTCATTATATTCATTCTTATAAATAATAAGATGTTCATCTTTTTTCTTGAATAAAGTTTAGTGATAACAAAATCAAACGTTAAAGCAAAATCTAAAATGACTCTACCTTCTTCATTGGTCACTCCAAAACCATAGTCACCATGAATATTTCTGAAATCTTCTACCACTCTAACGAAATGTTCATTTAAATCTCCTCCAATAAAAAATCTTACTTCAAGAGGTATCTTCAAATGGTATCATTTGTATTAAATCTTCTAAGTCATTCCAGAATTTATCTTTAGACTCAATATCTAAACCTAATTGAGGAGCATAAGCACTTATAATATTAAAAATCTTAGTCTCAATAATAATCTTAAGGATTATAACTCTATCTCCAACTCTATTAATTTTTACAACATTATCTTTCAAACTCTTATCTATAATTACACCTACAGCATTTCTGATGCAACTCTTCCCAGAATACCAAAGTTTAAAATCTAAGTTATCAATCTCCTTAGTTTTTTTTCCAACCCAGTTAGTTTCTTGAATACATAAGATATTAATCTTTCTATGCATCATAATATCAACTAATTCCATTAATTTACAATTGAGAGTATCTATATTCCAAGATCCTATTCTAATATTAATTTCATAAATTTCATTGACTAACTTCTTACCCACATTCTTCCTTAGTGTGGGAATTCTTACTTATTTGACACTACACCCAGGCGCCGATGTAGTGGCCCTTGCACACATTTCACTATATTCAGGTCATACAGCGCGTCACTTCCAAGGGGATCCTAGCACTTACACAATGTTCAAAAGGATTCATTTCATGATTTTATTTCGACAAGTTTCACGCTGGTAGTCGACTACCTAACGCAACCCTCCACTTTTACATCCGGGATTGGGACCGGCAATGGTAGTGTTTCTTATATCTAAGTAAAGCAAGAGAAAAAGTTTCAAATATAAAATACCTATGTCTCATTAATGTTATCGAAATCACGTGATTTGCATTGTTTAAATGCTAACTTGATCCTCTATAACATTCATATTTATCACTTTGATGAATGTCAACCCTATGAAGAGCAAATTTGATGCAATCAGAAACCCCTAGAAATCAAAATTAATTATTTTAAAAAATTATTATATTTTTATAAAATTGAATTTCTAATTCTAGGATTATAAATTTTGCTAGACCGTTTTTGCAAAATATTGATAGACAAATGTTATTGTGAATTAATGTGACGCGATCAAATTACAATTCTCACTATTAGTTAGCAGCAAGAGCATTGTCATTTAGTGACAAAGCAATCATAAGAAATGCTCAGGAGAAGGAGCAGTTTGTAGCGGCTTTTGGTATGTTTCAATGGGAATCAACGGTTTGCTATGTAGAATAAATGAGAGCAGTAACATTGGTAAGGTTGCAAATAAACCAAGAGTTTTGATAGGCTATTCATGGCTCTGCTCAATTAAGAGCTTGTTCCTGATCATTTAACGAATGAGCTTGAGCACTTAAAAAGTTGTATGATTATTAAATAAACAAACTTAAACAACTTATTTAATTCATTAATGTTCATGAACAGTGTCATTTATATATCTTTAAAAATCAAGAACAAGCTCATTAAAAAGCTTAATTAAGAATTGACTAAGGTTGTATCATGAATAGTATTGTTTAAAAGTTTATTTTTTAGACTCAACAAGCTCGATTTCATAAGGCTTGTTTATTTTTCCAAACAAGATACTTGTACAAGGCTCAATTACATACTCATTTATTTTACTATACAATCTATTTAATAAACTTCATAATCTCAACACGAACCTAGCTTGAATGTGCTTAATCTTAAATGACAAGCTTGATCACAATCCTAAAAGCTCAAATTGATCTCAAGCTAAGCGTGAACAAAAATTTTCATAAATGAGTTTGAACAAAGTCAAATTTGGCTCAATTTGGTTCATTTGCAAGCCTAAATATTGGACTAGCAATCACAACAAGCTAATATCATGAGACCCGCTCGACCTCCATGATCTGCAGTAGCAGCAACACATCTAGGCTCAACCTGTATCAGGTCGAACTTCTCATCAACATTTGGTTTGACCTACAACTTGTGTTGCATATCGAATCCCAAACTCTCCCTGATCTTGACTATAGTAGCCAACATCTGATAGCACCATCATTGCATTTATCACTCAATCTTCTACCTAACTTTTCAGTAGATAAATAATTTATACACAAGTTTTGTTGTTAAGATTTTAGAATATAAATGAAATATGTCTTTCTTTTATATATTGTATCCCATGATAGTCAATTTGTTTGATTTGCTAAAATAAGAATGCGCTATAAAAGAAATATAGTGAAAAGTAAATGTACTTTATTGAAAAATAAATATTATTGTTTGAAAGACAACACTGCAAAAGCTTGAATGTGTAATTTTGTGCTTACGTGAGTACATTAAAAATGCATTATAAAACACCTGAGCAAAAGCGGTTGTTGGCGAACTAGCCAATGGAGGTCAGTGACAACTAGCAAAGGTGGCGAGAAGGCAGGCCAACGGCAACAGCGGTGGCATCAAACAGCAGCCAATCGATGGTGGCAGCGACATTCAATCAGCGGCAAGAGGTAGAGGCGGCAAGAGGTAGAGGCAGCAGTCGCGGGGATAGCAAGGAAGGCTAACAACAGGTGACACTAGGTTGCCACCAGTTGGCCGCAGCTACAAACGGTGCAAGGGGCTTTCTCAATGACTAGAAACAAAAGGCTGAAAAAAGTATGATTGAAGTCCGTTATAGCACTTATTCGTGACATAGTGGTTAAGGGTGTACTCTATCACCATGAGGTCACAAGTTAAAATCGTGCATACTGTCAGTTAAGCTCACAATTCCCGAGATCCATCATAATTATCATCAAAACATTTTTATTCCATTTCATTGAAACGTATAACTTTAAACTAATTTCATTTTCATTCATGTTAGTATAAGAATAAATGCCGTATAACTTTTTAAAGGAAACTAAAGCAATCTATAAATATTATTTTCTGAACGATTTCTAGCAAATTTTCTAATTCAGAGATTAAAAAAAATCACACCAAAAAAAAAATCTCAAAAAACGCCTTGAATTAATAAATAAATGAATTCAGGAAATTTTTAACAAGATCGAAACTGTAAGGTTTAAGTCATTAACAAGATGCATTCCAGCAAAAAGAAAGAAAGGGAATCCAATAAATAATCATATCAGAGCAACTTTGTAGAAATGGAGAACCTGCCACTGTCAAGAACAGGTGGACGACAACAGAAAGCAGAAACTGAACCAATAGATGGCAACACTAGCAGAGGGTGAACAATGGACGTCAATAGTAGCTGTTTTTAAGTAGGATTTATACAGGATCTATGCTAAAATCCTGCCAAAGGTCAAATTACGCATTCGTAAATCCTACAGGTTCTAAAAACCCGTTTTACACCTTGAAACCAGGATATAGTAAATTCCGTTGGAAGTCGTATTTACGGGATTCAGAGAGGCTAAAGCGCGCGGCGGAAGAAAGAGAAAGGAAGAGGTAGAAAGACGAAAGGTTACCTTCCACGATGGTTTCTGGTAGGAACGGACCAGGAGTAGAGTGATGGGACTTTCAGAAGTGTTTGAACGTAGTGATCTCGTAGTTGCCTTCCCAGCTCTAATAGCGCTAGCTTTCGGTCACGAGACAGATGGTTTTGGGCGAAACCGGTAGGACCGACGGCGAGGGATTCGGGTAGGAGAGGGGAAGTGGAAGATGGTTTATGGCTTTTACATTATTTTATTTAGGTTATTTTAAATGTTTAAGAACTAATAACTAATTAATATGTTGTTAAATTAATCATAACACAAAATTTTTAATCATTAATTAATAAATAAATGACAAATCACATTTAATCATTTTATAAATTTTAATATTTTTCAACGGTTTAATAAATAACTGTTTAACTATTAATTAATGGTGAAAATTATTATTTAATATTATTAGTTTAATAAAATTATTATTAATGATTAATTAGTTCAATAAAAATTTAATTATTTATTATTATAATTATGCATAAAAATTTTAAATTATCTTAATTAGATTTAATAAATATATTTTAAATATTGAATATTAAGTGTTTAAATCTTAAAGATATATGGAAATCACATACTAATTTCTTATGGCAGGTAGGGCTGTTATATATATCTACAAATATATATATATA